TTGTTTTGTTGTTTTTTCCTCTCCCCCCCCCCCTTCCCCAAACCCCTCTGAAACCTAAAAGATAAAATTACTGGATCTAAAAATAAAGCAGTGGTTAAAAGCTTCCCCCACCCTCTCCGATCTCCCACCCCTTCCACCCCTCTCTCGCCTTCTCCCTCCCTCCCTCCCTCTCGCTCCCTCTTTCTGTGTGTTTGCGTTTGACAAAGAAATTATTTGAACTTCCCACTGCCTCATAAAAAGGAAACAGAAGAGCAGTTTTGACATATGGATGTGATTTTTTCTGCTCTGAGACAGATGCACACGGAAAACAAACAGCACCGGGGGCTGCGGCTCTGAAGGGAGCGAAGTTGCTCCGCTTCGCATGGGCTCCTCGGTTGCGTTTAGGGAGCTGCCCAGATCTCCAGCCATGGGGGGCGGGAGGGAAGGAGGAGGAGAAATCATCTGCAACTGGAGCACTGGAAGACCTCTCGTCCTCCTACTTCCCTGAGCAAGCTTGGATGCTGGAAGAAGCCTCTTGGATATGGGATCATATCTGGTTTATCACAGTCTGGGTTTGATCCTCTGCTGCTCCGTATTGAGTTCAGTCTACGCTCTGGTGAGTCCCGCAAATCTTTTCCCTTCGCGTTCTTGAACGATCCGCGCGGCTGTTGCCTTGATGAGTAATTTACTGTACCAAGGATTTAGAAAGCAGAGCGCTGGGATATTACTATTTTTTTTATTTTTTTTTTCAGCCCAGTGGTTTTATTCCGCTGGCAGATAGTGTCTGCAGTTGGTCTCAAGAGTTGCTGCACCAGATGGAATTAAAATGTCTGTACTTCCCCAAGAGTTTGAATCACTTTTAAACCCCTCTGGACAGGAACGCGTGCAGTTTGACAGGGATCTGGGGGAAGTGTTTGGGGGATAATTTAAAAGATACCTATGGATAAAGGGCAATTTTTCCTCCTCTTTTTCTTTTTTTTTTTTTTTTTTATCCCCCCCCCTCCACAAGATGACAAGTTTCATTTTAATTTAACCTTCTTAGTCTGCAAATCTGCGTAATCCCAGCGAAACGGTGCCTTCCTCTTTGGGATTAAATTTGGAGAGGACCTTAGAGTGCAGGGCTTGCAGACAGCTTACGCTCAGAGGCATGAAAGTAGTATTAACCCTTTGCTTCCTGGCACTATTTTCACCTGTTCCTGCACACCCCGAGGCAGAATATCTTTACAGAGGTAGCAAAAAGGGCTGAAGTCTGTCAAAACTGCCTTGACGGTGGTGACGGGGAATGGGCTCAGATCTACAGATCCCCCCTCTACAGCCCCAAGTGGTCTTCGAAATGTCATACAGAATCGGCCACCAGATTTTAACTGACGGGCACGCTGCTTTGCCATGTGCTTTCCTTGCTTTCTCCATCCCTGGAATCACCACCACTGCTGGCCATTTCTCTGTGCCTTCTGGTGTAGGAAGGGGCACAGCTCCCACCTAAAGCGGTGCCTGCTTTCCACGAGGGATGGAGATGTGTTTGAAAGGGAGTGGGCTCACCCTGACCCTGGCTCCAGCCAGGTCCTCCCTGACCCTCCAGGAGCCATCACCATGGGCCCTGTCCCCTGGGTTTGGTAGGGACTGCTCGGGACCTTGTACAGGGCTGGTAGGGGGATATTTCCCTCACACACCCAGTATCGTGCTAGAGGGAAACATCTCATCAGTAAATGAGAAGAAGCAGCCCCTCGGAAAATGACCCTGTTGCAGTCCATCCCTGTCTTGCTCTCTTAGCACAAATAAACCTTTCAAAACCCAAAGAAAACTGGCGAAATTGGGAGGACCACTTGTATTATTGAGGTTTTAGCAACAGTTGAGGTTTCTGCCCTGTTCTGGAGTTGGATTAGCATCTCCGTGACCACATCTGACTTTGGGGCCATATCCTGGCAGGGATGGTCCTGTAGCACCTGCTACCCCCCACCTCCACAGCCCTGCTGCCGCTGAAGCCAGCACCAAAATTCCTGCTAGCTTTAGTGTCTCTGTTGGTACTGGTGAAAATCAGATTAATGACACAGCCAGACTGGAGCTCGGCAAACTTCAGGACCCAGAAAAGACAGGCGAGGCTGCAGAGTGTCCCCAGTCCCATTCCTGTTTTATTCCCCTCTCCCAGTACATCCCAGTGCAGAGGACCAGTCAGCCAGCTGTCTCATGCTCCCGGTGGGTATTTTATTTTTACACCCCCATCACAACAGACACTTTCAGACCACAAGCCATTTGCTCAGCAGCACTGGTAGGCACTGGGGGCTCATGGCTGGAGCTGGTGCCCCATGCACCGGCTCGGAGCAAGCTGGACCTGGGCATAAATCAGGAATAGCCCTGCCAGAATCACAGAGGGGCGAGAAAGCGGGCAAATTTGCTGGGAAGGGCCAGGTGAGGAATGCACAAGAGTATTTGCTCTCTTTGCAGTTCCAAAAGCCTGATCCCCTCCTGTACTGATTTAGGGTCCTGACGCTAGAAACCCCATTCGGTTTAATTAGGCCCAGGCTGAAGTTCATGTTTCCAATACTTGCCTCGCTTTTCAAGGCTGCTATTGACAGCTGAAGGAATTGTCAGAAGGTTTGAAAGGTTGACCTGACAATTCAGGGTCTGCAGAGATGTTGTGTGTCCCTTCTGGCAGCCACTTAGGCAGAATAAGAAGGCCAGCCCCATGTCATCGACTGTACAACAACTTACGAGGCAGCGAACAACTTGCAGGGTGCCTGGAGCCTGATTTTTTTTTTTTTTTGCTGTTGTTTCTTTCCCAAACTACCTTGATTTTCAAATGAACTTTGAAAACACAGAATGGTATTGGCTGCATGTTTCAGCACGGTGATGTCTCGTTAGCTACGCTATAAGGAGGGTCGGGTATATACTTGATATTTGGCTAGCGGGTCTGAGTGGGTTGTATGTGCTGCCGTCAGTAGAAGTCACCAAGTGCTTCTCTGCTAGAAGCAACAAGCAAAAATCAATGAGAGTAGCTGCAGAAGGATGGGGATGCAAGGACTTAATTTACAGACAAGCTCCATGGCAGCTTTGGGCTAAGCTAAAAGTGGTACCCGATCTTTCACTCCCCCAGCAAAGCAAAGCAAAGCAAAGCTCTGTTTTGGGGTTGAGTCAGGAGGATTCCCGCAGACCGAGGCAGCCGAGCGTTCAGAGTTTCAGGGCACAATTCATCTGTCTGAGGCTGGAAGACTTGAGTTTTGAGAGCCATGGCCCTAATTGCTGGGCTCTTTGCAGCTCAGTTGCTTTGCATCTGAGAGTTGGTGATGCTGAGACGGGGCAGAGCACGATGCATCCTACATCTGAAGCTATCACTCCCGTTATTCCTTTTGTCAGCGGGAAAAGATGATAATAAAGACACTTTTTGCAGCAAGAGTGCTGAAGTAGGGATGGGAAATGGTTTCTTTGATCATCTGTGCCACTGGTACATCATGGGGCAGGACGCTGGCAGCTGGATCACATCTCAGCAGCATGCGGGCTGCGTGTCGCTGCATTAACTGTAAACCACAGTGGGAAATTCAGCGCAGGGAAAAATGCTGTGGGAGTGGGTCCTCTCAGAGTTAAAAGTGTCTGTGCAGAAATTGTGGCCCCCACCATGAGCCTGAGGCCACGCAAAATCTGTAGCAGGATCAACATCCCTGCCCTGAGCTTTTGAAGGGCAGCTGAGAGGGACAGACGGTTCTCTTTGATGTGGGGTGAAGGATTGGGTGAAGCTCTGCTCTCCTCCAACTCCCGTGGCAATCCAGAGAAGCCCTCCCCCAGCATTTCCCTGGGAATATCATGATTAACACCTGCCTGAATGGCAAGGGACATTTCGCTTGTTGAGTGAGCGCTTTGCACCTAAAATCTGGCAGGATGAGGGAGTAAATTTGGGTTAATTTTGCTATTTGGTCCAAGGACCAGGGAAGCAAGATTGGCCTGAGCCAGATAACCCTGCAAACATGGGCTTGAAAAGACCGATGTGAGCAAAAGGAGCTTTAAAAGTAGGGTCTGACATCAGCAGAGCACGGGAGACGTTAAGCTGTAGGCACTGTGATTTTATCTGAAAGGCGCTGCCAGCGCTCCTTACAGGAAAAACCTCCTCACGTCCCACATCCCAGCAGAAAGCCCCATGGTTTGCTCTGCTGACCCCTTTGCTTCTCCCTCTTCTTTCTCTTGTCAGTCCCAGCCTGGCACCCCCCAACCCGGTTGTCACTGGAGGAGATATTCTGCTTCATCACAATAATAAGCTACCAGCCTTCTGCAGGGCTTTGGATCAGAATAGCTCCGTTTTGGGAAATGGGTATCATCAGCCCCAGCTGGCTGCGGTTGGCTGAGCTCGACAGGACCCAGGGAAGCAGGTCCACGAGGGCTATGAAATGGGTAGCAAAAGGGACCTCCACCTTGCTGTGGGGGTCTTGCCTTTTAGCAGCGCTCGGTGCTTTGCAGAAGGTGCTGCACGTTAGGGGATGCATTTTAAGAAGCAGAACACTCTCAACCCCTGTTTGCTGCAGCGCTGGTCCCCCAGCCCTGGCCCCACTCAGGCTGCCTGGGCAATGCTGAAGTTTCTGATTTTGCAAAGAAGCTGTAGCAATCCTCCAGAAATTCAAGGGGTGTTAGGAGGGGATTTGGAGCCCTTTCTTGCAGACATAACCCAAAATAGGGACAAGCTCAGCCAGGTCACCTGCAGAAGGGTCCCAGCTCCCATTCCCAAGGGACCTGCATCTACACCAGGATTAGTGTTAATCTCCAGTAGGAGGGTCCGGTATAAATCAGAAAAACTGCCTTGTTCACACCAAAACAATTCTCGGGTCACCATCCAGCCGAGATCCTGGGGCTCAGGCAGGAAAGCAGCTGGAATAAGGAGGTGCTGGTCGATGGTTTGCTCTTTGACTTGTCTCTTTCTGTTCCTCTCCTCAGACCCACATCTTCATGGATCTGGAAAGGAGAAGGATTTGAAGGTGAATAATTTCTAGCTGGAAGGGAAAGATAATCATATTCTGCCTCAGAATACGGCCCGTGATAAAAAGAGTAATAATAATAAAATAATCCTATATAGAGATCCTGCAAATCCCGACTAGCTGTCTAACTTCATTAAATAAAGACAGGCTCCGAGTGCAGGGAAACAATGTCTGAAATGTTCTTTCCTCCGCACACGCTTGGGAGTGTGCCCATCCCTGCCCCGCGTATTTATGAAAGATACGATTTTTGTTATTGTACTTTGGGATTAGCAGATATCCCTGGACTATAAAAAACTCAACCGCAAAATATAAAGCAAACAAGCCTCTGCGTCAGGGTAATGCATGGGCTGTGATTTCATCCCATGCAAGCCAAAAAAAGTTCAGCTGCCCGGTGGCAAGTCTGACCTGAGCGGGCTGGGTTTGGTGTGAGCTCCTTTGCATCGGGAAGAGGAAAAGCAACGGGGCAACTGTGCGCACAGGGGGGCCAAGGCTGGAGGAAATGAAATCCGAGGTGCATCTTTCAGGTCCAGGCAGTTGTTGTTTGGTTTCTGGCCTCCTAGAAATAGCCCCGGAGCGGTGCTTTGAGATCAGTGGGATTATTCCGGCTGGGGCGGCGTGTCTGCAGCCCTTGCGAGGGGTTACCCCCAGCCCAGCCATCTCA